TTTAAGTAATATTTGTTACCATGTAACAATATTAAATTATTTATTTGTCAAAAAAACACTATCGCCAACAATATATATGTTGTATATCGTTTAAAAATTTAGTTTAGTGTTTAATTATATAGCTTTTATCTTTTAAAATTTGAATGATTATAGTTATGCTCAAAGATTAATATGGATAAAAGAGGTTTTAAATTAAAATCCCGCGCAACGCGCGGGTACACAATCTAGTTTAATAAATTATCAAGATCTCTCTTTACAATTTATAATTTGAAAAACATAAATAAATATTATTCAGTTATTTTCAAAACATATATTAAAAATTGCTTGTAGACTATATAATAGCTTAATGTAAATTGTATTTTATTTTATATTTTAAATTAACACTACATACATAACTAATGTGATATCACTTTAGTATCAATCACCATTATTTACATTAAAAGCAGACCGATCCTAATTGTAATTTTTTAGGAAACTAGATACAATAGTCTAGCTGTATATACTTGTAAAGTTCTTGTGAATAGATCATCAGAAACTTATTATTCTCATGATTACTTAATTGTTCAATAACCCACGCGTAGAGTTCAAGTTATTTATATACTGAATTAATGTATAGCAATGCAAACATAATCCTGAACAAAAGAAGAAATCTAGACCAATAACCTTAAGAATGAAAGGAACTTTGCATCGGAGTGTACATAGTTTACAAATTGGTCGAGAACAATGATTGTTTGGAAGTACGATAAGCTTTATGCCTCGGAATACAAATACTCGTCCTGGCATGAGACGAGAGAATTCTCCAATGATGCACTTAGCATGCACTCCAACCTCACATTCATTGCACTTATAGAACCATTTATTTGGATCCAACTTCTCTTCACATATATCACACCAATATGTCCCATTTACATTATTTTCATTGCAAGATAAGGAGAGGAGATGTTGATCACACATGTGCTTTACTGTTTTAGGTAAAGTTGCACAACGAAAATCCATCTTATAGTCACATGAGCCACAAGACAATACTGGTGATGTTGATACTGATTCGTGGCAGGCATTGCACGTGCCAGTATTCGATTTTTTGTAATGCAAAGGGTGTTCATGATGTTCAAGAGAGGATAACTCAGAAGTCAAAATGCATCTTACGTCTACAACTACATTATCAGATTCGTACCTGAAACCATTGAACATTTCTCCACAAACATTGCAAAGCTTAATCTTGTGTAAGTCCACGTCTCGAACATGTAAGGTAAATGGCTTGTTGTGAGACATATGATGTTTTTTCCGAGGAAGTTTTGCGCATACATTGTGGAGAATAAAGTCGCATTTCTCACAACTATAGACTAAATCAGAGTGAACAGGAAGCATACATGCTTCACAACGTATGCTCCCAGTTCCGCCATGAGTAGTAAGATCCTTATTTAATTTTAAATTATGTCGTCGATGACTAAAATGATTTATCATGTTATCACCCACCTCCTTGAACGACATTATATCTTCGGTTTCTTCTGGAACCCCTTCAAGTTCTATCCCATCCCATATATCGTTTCTTGTTGCACATTGTGAATGAACAACATAGTTAATGCACACTAAGCAAGAATATGCCCCGTAGAACCGGTTAATACTTTGGAGACAAACCTTGCATACCGAATCTTCAAAACTAAATTTTTGATTTTCAGTATGATAGATGCGATGATCATGACGATTGATACTTATAACACGGGGTAAGCCAATGCAACTTCGGTGGACCATAAAACCGCAATGGAGACAAAAATATGGGCTACGGTCTCCTTGCATCCCACAAGCATTGCAAGTAAATGAGATTTGTCTTGCCATAAGTGTGAGTTTATGCTCATGAGTTTTTAGATGTTCAACATTGACAGGAGGTGGAATGCTTGTACAACCCAAGCACACACTGAAGTTACATATAGAACAATGATAAAGCACACTTTCCAATTTCAAACCACATAGAAGACATGAATTATCGATGTAATCAAGTGTCCGAGACATACAAATCTTGAGAGAGTGTTTAGGGTGACAAGGATGGTTTACCTCTGGTAAATTTTCACATTCTACATGGAGGACGACTTTGCACTCAAAACATCGATAAGCTGATTCGACAACAATTTTTTCTTTACATACTTCACAAAGATTTGTCGGGTTTCCTGATATTGGGAAGAACACAAGTGGATGCTTATGGCGTTGAGGATGGTTAATAGTAAGTCTTGGTGCTTCTATCGCACAAGACAAGTGTAATCCAAATGTTTCACACATGAAACAATGATAAGCCCAATCATCGTAGATGGGTAGTCGACACACGTGACAAGAAATCTTAGAGTATTTAGCTATGTCGGTATGTATGAGAAGATGTTGAGGATGAGAAGTGTGATAAAATATATTTGGAAATTTAGAACTAACACATTCCTTGTGGAACCAACGGTCACATTCGGTGCAACGGTATCCGTTACTGATGTAACCACCGGTTTTGCACCAATAACACCTCAAAGCAAACCCTGATGAAGGTGTCAAAGGATGGCCATGACATGTAAGGTTACTTGATGTTTCCATGGCGGATGTGTGTGAATCAAAGCAAAGGTCTTTGGTTTGTTTTATCTTTTTGGAATCTTTGTTACTATGAGAAAGTAATGAGAAAAAAAAGAACAGATAAACGTAGAACTGCTTTTAGAATATCAAGAAAGTAAATTCAAAAGCAAGATATTTGATTTGGCCGAGATATGTTTTGATACAATCGAAGCGTACAAATTTATAGCCAAAAGGTTTAACTTTATGCTAAAGGCAAGTTACATATTGTCGTCGTCGATTCTTTTCTTCTTCATTTTCATGCACAAATACAAGTCATTCCTTTCCTTATATCAAGCTTTTCTCCTATTTCAATATTCTTTTTCTATGACATAATTAAACCTTCTAGTGAGATTCCAACATGCTATTACGAAGTTAAGTCTAAGGACTGTCAAAATACTTTTGTAAGCTTTTTTCCCAATACAGAGTTTATTGATCTCAACTTTGTTAACTGAATCAAGAGGCAAGAGACATTATAATAAAGACATATAAAACTAAATCTGCAATATACATTTTCGGTTTATAGTATTCCACGAACGAAGTCGTCTAAATTTAGGCCAAAAAAGACAATTTCATAAGTCATCAATCCCTTTTGAAAGAAATTGGATCCTTACATAAGACGGGTTGATGATCTGTTTACGGGATTGAACAAGAAGGAGGCGCTAGAAAATATTTGGGATTATACACAAAAATCTCAAAAAGTACAACTGTGTATAAGCAAGCACAACTGGAAAACTAAAAACAACTATGTTCATTTTTGCGGCGCCAAGTTACCGTTTATAGAATGCAAGCAAGGTAGCTTGCCTGCCAAGCCGATAGGCGTTGTAAAAAAAATATTTTAACCCCAAATATTTTCTAGCGCCTCCTTCTTGTTCATAAAACTATTTTAACCCCAAATTTCGTTTAAAAATATTTTTAACTCCAAATAGGCGAAAGGGCGTTGTAAAAACATATTTTAACCCCAAATATTTTGTGGCGCCACTTGAAATTTGTTTAGAGTTTTGAAATTTCCTAGTTTTAAAAAAATTCCATTCCCTAATAAAGAGAGACAACGAGACGAGAGAGAAGAAGATTTGTGAGTCAGGTGATGAGAATTAGGATTCATAAATTAAAAACTGAAATTTCCAATTCAGATTTTAAGATTTATTTCATCACTAGGAACAAACTGATATAACTTCTCAACACGTTTGTGAATCCTAGATCAAGTTGTATCTATTCGTCTCAGAAACTTATAATTAACAAAACAACATACTTATACCAAGTTTTACATAGTTGTGCACATTTTATAAATATTGGCTCCATCTCCATCTTGTTTGATTGTAATGCGATGAAATCCGACATGTGCATCAATTACATACGGGAATTTTCTCTGCATGAAGTGTCATCTGCTCATCGTAATCTCGGTGTTCATATCAGCTTCGTCAGACAGACACTTGTTGGATTTGCCATCATGATCATGACAGACATGGTATGTATTTTTTTTTTTTTCTTTTGTTTACTTCAATAGTGACAACAAAACTACCTCAAATCCAATCATTAACTTTATTTTCAATGAAGTATATATTGCTAAATATTATTCACTGTTCACTTTTCAGTCTAATTGCTACAATTTTGTTGATTTTGGTATGTCGTCATGGGAGGAAAAGTTAGTAGTTCGTTAAGCCACTTAACGGCGGGATTAATTTGGCTCAATTAACAGAAATTAGTCACTAATATGCAAATTCAATTAAAGTCAGAATTTTGCAGCCACACCATGACCCTGTGATCACCCAATTATTTTATCGCAAGAAAACATCAACATGAATTTTTTGATTGCGATTAGTCGCAGTGACCAGTCACGCAATTACAAAACAAACAACATCTCGCTATTGAAAGTCGAGGTCGCTTGTGATTATGAAACAAACATGGCCAAATATATATAGGTCATGTTCTTTTAGTAAACGCTGCGATAGCAGCTGCGATAAAATAAAACGACGTGTCAAAAAAGTAGTTGTAATGTTAAACGACACCGTGGACTTCAAAGTTACAGATCTAGATGAGTCGCAGACGGAATCCGCTGAGTCGCGACGGCAGCCGTTGAGCCGCCGAAAATAACAGCGACACATCCATCTTCATCAGTGCTCATCACTTGCGACGGTTGCGACTCTTCTCATTTCATTTTTGTGTATTCTTCTCTCTTGTAAAACTGTTTTTCTTCTCTATTATCGCTGTCGCAGAGTTTAACAAAAGAACAAGGCCATAGTAAAAAAATGGTTACAAATCGATAGAAATATGAGCCATCACATTTGTAGCCAAAATTTCATATAGTTAAAACAATCATCGATTAATTATTAGTAAGCGCAAGAATACTGATACCTTGAGGGTTCCCTTTTGGTTATGTTCTGATGTATAACCTTGCGATCAGATTTACACCGGTCTACCTAGACCCTAGGAGAATATGACCTGCTTTCATTGGTAATATGTTACAGAGCACTTAGTCTTTATACTTTCCAATAGACAAAAGGAACTAGTGTATAGATATGCGAAACTAATAAAAACTCAGAAAACAAATTTAATTTTAACAAAGCTATATCAAATGTTCCTCTAAGTCACACATCTCTTCACTTAACATAAAACCCTTCCAAATTCCCTCACTATCCATTTCAAGTTCATCTCCTTCTTGTCCTTGATCCTCCATTGAAGCTATGTGAAGCTCATCGCCATACTCGTCCGGCTCAGCTTTAACAAACGTTTCATGGACCTCAACCACATGGCTTGACGACATCACCTCTTGCTTTTGCTCTCGGTTCTTGATTCCTTGCTTCTTACGTTTCCTTAAACCCTCCAAAAAACTCGGTTTCGTAATCTTCTTCAGCAAGAAATCCAACATCATGTCTTGCTTCACTTCTGTGACTCTCAGTTTCTCTTCCATCGAATGAAGATGTGTCTTCATAGTTTCATGTTTTCGTCTCAGTCTCTCGAGTTCTACTACTAGAGCTACTCTGTCTCTTCTCATCTCCTCAATCTCTCGGCCTTCTAATGAATGCGTTTGCGTTTGAGTTTGAGAAGATGAAGTCTTTCTTCTCTTAATGTTCTTAAGAAGATGTCTCTGTCCTTTAAGAAAATACTCATTTGCAAACTCCCACCTCTCTGTATCAATCTTCTTAAACCCCTATAGATCATTAAACAAAGATTCGATTTCTCATAATGAAGATCCAAAGATGGAAAGAACCAAGACAAAACTTTGAAGAGTTACTCACATAAGTATTGAGCTGTCTAACAAAGCTTGAGAAATTGTTGTGCTTAAAGCATCTAGGGAGGCAAATTAAGGCAAAAATCTCTGGTTCCCAGACAATGAAGCTGTTGTTGTCTCTACTCCATGAAACTATCTTGTTTGTGCTTGAATCCTCCACTATGTTGTATGTCTTTGTCAAGAAAGCAGTTGGCCCTGTCTCTTTCAGACCCTCTAATGGAACTGGAAGGTTAAATTCCATTTTGCGAACAACAAAAGAACAAAGTGAGACTTCACTTGGGTAATGAAAGAAAAGGAGAGAAGAGAAGAGTTTTGATGAATAGCTCTATGAATGAAGCCTTGAGGATGCTTTTATGCTCTCTAATATTATTTGGATAGAACTGTTTTTTTTTGCGTTGAGTGTTTTGGATAAGTCTATTTTATTAGTTTCTAGCTTTGATGTGGACAAACTCGATTAGCCAGAAATGGAAATGAGAGAGTTGTAGTGGCATATGTTCATTGGAAGTTTACTACTTTTGTGTGTGTTTTTTATTTTGTCTTTTATCCAAATAAGTTAATCATACAGAAAACAAAGTTTCTAGAGTTTTGTATAGTGAGTAGTAATGAATGGCTCCATCGTTTCGTTTCCGCACCTGACACGTTATGGTGAAACGCATAAAGGATACGTTACGTGGTCTGTTTGTTTATTACAAAGTCAGTATGATGTGATTTCTGGTGGAACCCTTCTGAAAGATTTTTGTAGAAGTAAAGAGAGACCCATTGAATAGGGTGGGGGAGAAAAAACCAGACCTAACTACACCAAATCAAACCGGTTGTTCTGTAGAGATGCTTCAAACTTGTTCTAGCATCTAATCATATTGAAGATAAGGTATAACATAGTAAGGCATTTTTGTCAACTTATCTCCAAGATATCTCAAGAAACTTGCTAAAATAGCTTGAACTGATCATGCTATTGTGTAATGACTGCTACTTTAAGAGTTTAGAACTTCGAAGGTTCAAGTTTTAGAAAGTGATTGCAGTTTTAAATGGTATATTCCTCAAAAGCATAGATAGCAAAAGTATGTTTACATGCACATATATATTCGGAAGGAGACTTTGGTGTTCACGGCTAAGGTAGTAAACAATACATACAAATACAACATCAAGCATATATTGAACTTGTCAATAAGCTTTAATGGCTTCTCCAAACTTGTGGGTTAAGCCCTTTACATATTGTTTCCTAACCGGATCTTCTTCCTGTGGCCTGTTATATGCTGTCCAAACCGGTTCTCCCACGAACAGCCTCATCAGCTGCAAAACCAAAACCAAAACCACTCATCACAAATCCAACAATCATGAATTAGTATAGAGATTGAGATTAGCTTGTTGTACCTTGATGTAGTTGCTGGTGTCAAGTGTGAACCTATGGTAGATTCCGGCTGGAAGGACAATGAGATCGCCCGGTTGCATCCACATTCGGATCCAACAGTCATCCTTGTCTCTAACATCAAAGTAACCACTTCCCGCTAGGCAGTACCGAATCTCTTCATCCTTGTGAATGTGTTCTGTGAAAAAGTTCCTCAGCTTCTCCTCGTAGTTGCTCACTTTCTCCGGACACAGATCCAATAAATCCTAAAATATAGATTAGTTAACAAAAAACATTTTGCTTGTGAGAATTTATACTAGCTCATGAGTTACAATGCCAAAACACCATACAAATACTCCCTTAGATTAGCTACATAGAAGAAGACACTCTGCTATGTAAGCATAGTAGCTAGATTAGATCCTTATACTCAGTAATACATAAGCCACCTCTACTACCCTCATGGTTTATGCAAGATTACATAGCCTTACTGTCCTAGTATCTGTTGTGTATGCAAAAGGGCATGAGTGATCCTGAGTAAAAAAGTTACAGTGATCATCAGAAAGAGATATATCGCGTAGTACCATGTAACTATAACCCCTTTCTTCTCTAATCTTGCCAAGTTCAGGATCATTCTCATAGTTCTCAGGGTTCAACTTCCAATACAACACTCCCAACTCTACAAAAAAACACAACACAAGTATTTATTAGTGAAATCTTTTGCATAGTTTCATCATATCTGTATCTTCCAGAATCACAAACTCAATACAACAAAGCATGAAAGAACACAACACACATATACATAAACTACAACATCATCATATTATTAAGTAAGAGTCACTTAAGAACCTGACAAGTAATCCAAAGAGACGAGCTTTTTAGGGTTACGATGATGAGGAAGTCTCTGGTCTTCAATGCTATCATCCATAAACCATGCCTGCATCATCAATCAACACTTACCCTAAATTATTCATTCAATTCCCAAATTTAGCAGCAAAATCAATTATCACGATTTTGCCAAAATCAAATCAAAATCAATTTCAAAATAAACTCACCTCGAGAGCCATTACTGATCTTCTTCGGTGGTGTGTGAATATGCTTCTTCGATTTCAGATTTATTAGAGTGATGAAGGTAAATAAATAAATAAATATATATATATATATATATATATATATATATATATATATATATATATATCATTTCATTCCTCGATGGCAGCCACGTGTACGGTTGATTCTGATTCGGATAATTTTGGTTTTTTCCATATTTACAAGAAAACTTAATTCTGGTTTCCAAAATTTCTAATTTTTCGTAATACTAGATTTTATGAGGTTCATTCATATATATAAAATTATCGATTTTGCTAATTTTTCATAATTTGGAAAATATTTTAGTAACACGAAAAAGATATTGGACCGCGTAATACAAAACTAAAATCTCGAATGTTCTATATAAACTTTCTTTTAAAAGTTAATCTTGGTCGAAAAAAGTCCAGTAAAATTGAAAAAGCCCAATCCTTGGCCCAGCAACAGCATTAATAATTTTTATTTTATTTCTCTCTTCTAGATTTTTGCTGAAAAATATATATTATTGTTTCTAGTCATAAACATGGAAAACATAATTACTTTCTTGCAAATCAAAATGATATCTTAACAACTATAGATTTTTCAAGTCAAAATTGTATGTTCGATTTGAGAATTTGGCTCCAATTATTCTGCATCCATTGTCAAGTCTGAAACATGAGCGAATTCCTATTCACAAAATCATTGGCTGAAATTGATTTGCGTTAAGAACAGGATTCACAACAGGAAGGAGCTTCAGGTTTGGCAACCTACGGCGTTAAACAACCACATAAAATGGAGAATTCAGTCTTTGAAGATCAACCAGACGCCTCATGAACTTGCTCAAATGCATCAGAATATCGATTTCGGTCCCAAATCTAGCTTTATTTTTTGATGATTTACATTCTGGTTTTGGCAGTGATATATTGAAAACTCAACAAAGAGGAACATTAGAAGTCGTAGATGTCTCTGAAGTGGTCGATTGTTTAAAAGATGATGGAGTTTTCCCAAAATTAAAATATACTAATATGTAAAGAAAAAATTTAATGTTCTTAACCAGAAATACTATGTTTTAAATGTTTTAATAGAGAGATTAAGAAAAAGATGTCTCTAATATAAAAAATCTTTTTATATTTAATTATTAATATTTTTATAAGTTTAAATTTTTTTAGATCGTTACTCTCGTTTATGTGCAATAGATGTGCTCTAAAGGAATCATATTATACATAGACAATGTAGCCAACATAGGCAATGCTAATAACCAATAATAAAATATATGAAAAGGAGTCATAGCCTATAAATCTAAAGATAAAAATAATTACTCCTTAATCTTTCAACAAAATTGTACCAAATATTTATATTTTTGTAAATTTTTGTTTTTAGGTATGTTTTAAGCAGTTCTGGTATCAATATATATTTTTTTGCTGAAAAAAAAAGAATATCTTCACCTATTTTTCTTGCATTTTTACATATTTCTAAACAGAGTGAAAAAATAAAAATTCCCAAAACAAAAATCTCACATATAGGGTGTGACTTCGTTTTGAATTCAAATTAAAATTGAAAAAATTAAAAGAAAAATAAATGACTAGTAAGTTTAGATTAAACATAACACTCTTCATTTTCTATTGGAAAATATACTATTGAGAAAAATGTTGGAGAAATCCTTAATTGTCAAAAAGTGTTGAAAAAAAAAACTCCTCAATCTTTATTTCAAATAAGAGTATTGTTGACTTATATATTACATCGTAAAATTCAAAATAGTCATATTAATAAATTCCTTTGCCGAAATATTAACGATACTTAATTGTATGTTAATTTTTTTTAAAAAAAAGACATAAATTTAAGAAAAAATTATCATTTCTTTTTAAAAAAAATATTGAAATATTAAAAAAGAAAAGTTATTTTTTTATGGTACAATATATCCAAAAATTACTCTGTTTTTTTTTTCTTTTCTTTCTTTACTTTAACTACTACACACGTACCATCCGAGTCATAGCCATACTTCTAAACTCTTTTTTTTTTTTTTTTTGACGGCAATACCTTCTAAACTCTTTTTTTCTCCGCCTATAATAATATCTCCAAACTCACCTCATTCTTATGAACCCACCAAAAAAAACAAGTAAAGCAGAGAAAAACTAACAAAGAGACAAAAAAAAAAAAAAAAAAAATGTCATCTTCTTCATCAAGAAACGCCTTTGAAGATGGCAAACACAAAACAAATCTCTTAACCTTAGACTCATCATCTCGCTGCTGCAAAACGACGCCGCCGTCATCTCGAGCTTCGCCTTCTCCGCCGAAGCAGCTCTTGGTGGCGACCCCCGTGGAGGAAGGTGAATATCCGGTGGTGATGCTCCTCCATGGTTACCTTCTCTACAACTCATTCTATTCTCAGCTTATGTTGCATGTCTCTTCTCATGGCTTCATCCTCATCGCTCCTCAGGTTCAATTCTTTAACTCTCAGAATAATTACATTGTTTCAAGAATTAGTTAATTAGCCACTAAATATGCTTCTTAGTTTTGGTTATAGTGTGCATATTTACTTAGGTGTGAATCATATAAGTAGGTCCATATGTATTGAATCCAAAATCATAATAAATACATTTGTTGACTAGTTAGGACTTAGGATTTATGGGGAAAAAAATGTAACCAAGATGTATCCATAACTTAGTTGAATGGAACACAAGATGCCACGTTTATCATGAAATTTTTGTTTATTTATTTAATTGTTTGGTTCTTATAAAAACCTTAGACAAGAAGAAAAGTAAAGAAGTACGAACAAAGATGTAAAATCTATAGGTCCACTTGATGTGTTTGTTCTTGTTTTGTCTCTCTCTAATCAATTTGGTCGTAGTTTAGTCATTAGAATCTCTCAAGTGCTCTACAAAAATGACGTTGGACTTGTAAGTAAAAATATCTTGGTTGTGTGATATGTAACAGTTATATAGTGTCGCCGGACCTGACACAATGGATGAGATTAAATCAACCGCAGAGGTTATGGATTGGTTATCAGTTGGACTTAAGCACTTTCTTCCACAGCAAGTAACACCAAACCTGTCCAAATTCGCACTCTCGGGCCATAGCCGCGGTGGCAAAACCGCGTTCGCAGTGGCTTTAAAGAAATTCGGATACTTATCGGATCTAAAGATCTCGACATTGATCGGTATAGATCCAGTTGATGGAACAGGGAAAGGAAAACAAACCCCTCCACCGGTTTTGTCCTATGAGCCAAACTCTTTTGACCTAGACAAAATGCCAGTACTTGTCATAGGTTCGGGGCTTGGTGAAACCGCTAGGAACCCGTTGTTCCCTCCTTGCGCGCCTCCAGGAGTGAACCACCGAGAGTTCTTCCGGGAATGTCAACGTCCAGCGTGGCATTTCGTCGTGAAGGATCACGGGCACTTGGACATGCTTGATGATGATACAAAAGGGATTAGAGGGAAGAGTTCTTACTGTTTGTGTAAGAATGGAGAAGAGAGAAGACCAATGAGGAGATTTGTTAGTGGAATGGTTGTGTCGTTTTTGAAGGCTTATTTGGAAGGAGATGATTGTGAATTGGTTAAGATCAAAGATGGGTGTCACGAGGGTGTTCCAGTTGAAATTCAAGAACTTGAGGTTACCATGTAAACATAAGTTTCTAGCCTTTGTTGCTTATGTTATGTTATGTAGTTACAATCTTATGATGTATAAGTCTTTGCTTAAGTAACCTCTCTTTGCTCATTCACAAGACTATAAGAGTAAATTATCAGAAACTTTAAAAGAAGTCCTCACAGTATTTTCTATACCACAATCACCCCAGAAGAAACAAAAACACAAATTTCGTCCGATTTACCAATCACCATAACTTACAAAACGAGAATAGCATGTAATTTACATATTCTTCTACTACAAAGATCTTACTTCTAAAAGAAAAAGAAAAAAATTAGACAGTTTAAAATCCCATTTTTCGTTTAGCTATCAAATAAAAATACCAAGAAAAAAATAAGATTAATACAAATTTGCCCCATTAGTTTCCAATTTCAGTGTGACTTTACCCCCAAAGATTATACCTTAATTCAACATTTATGTTTCCTATCAGAAGCAATGGAAAGAAGCATGGAAACACCTTGTGTCCAAAGATCATATTCCCTTTGGCTTTTGCATTCAAATTCAATCACTCTTTTCTCAATCGTCTTCAGCCCGAAATACCTCAAATTCTCTCCGCCCTCGAGCATTTCCCGGCCAGGCCACGCCGGTAATCCCTTGACCAATTCCACCACCACATCTATATAGATCAATACATTCTAAATTCAGCAACTTAAAACACAATTTTTTTTAGCTATAGACCAAAAGATTAAGACTAATGTGAACAAAAAAAAAAAGAATAAGCAATATAGAATTTCCATTAGACTAATAGAGACTAGTATTCTAACTGATTAAGTAATATTTTTATGAAAGTGTGGATCTGTCTTTCACTTTACGATCTATTAGTCTCTTAAACTACAAAAACTATTCCAAAGTTGGTACCTTTTTGACCTTTAGATCTATTGGATTCCCAATAAAAAACAGAGCAAGAGTAAGTATGAAGCAAAGCATCACTATTTCACTTACTCTTTTTCTTCTTTGTAATGGTCCCAGCAACATGTTTGCTCTTGGTCTTCAACGTTACCTGCTCAATAAAGATAAAAAAAAAATGCACATTAAAACAATTCATACAATTCATACATTAACTATATGTCTATAAGTAGCAAAAACATAGTTAAATTCGATATATGGTTTACCTGTTTTGCTCTATTAATGTAGATGGAAACAACTTTCCAATGAAGGTCACCTGGAAAATATGGAATGAATATAAGAAAATGGGAACAATTATGATGTATTCAAGAACGATTAAAAGAGATTAACAAACCTTTGCGGGTGCGTTTAAGCAATTCGCAACCTTTGGCTAGCAATTCCTTACTACAAATCCCGAGGAAGTTGTCCTCGGGAGCTAACTCGCCTCCTCTGTAACCACCACCACCGCCTTTTGTTATTCCCTTATCCACCGGAATCACAGCCGCAATGTTCCATACCTCCTTCAATGCCCTTGCCTTCAATGTCGCAGCTCCTCTCAAAGCTATGCACATAAGAAAAATAGGTTCAACCAAAATCTATAGTTATGAGTTAACTAATTCAAGGTGGCCAAGTGGTTCTAGGCCAATGTTTCAAATGAGTGGCTATTCCATAGGTCATGACTCACGAAAGAGCTACTAACTTTTATATGGTTCATAATGGATCAAGCTAAAGACGGGATTTATTCATATAAATTTCTATTGAAGTAACAAGTTTCTTAAACTATAGTAACGAAATATTAATGTAACATTTTATTAACATTTCCCTAATGACATAATTGCATAATGCAAGAAACATACCTGTGGCAGCAGCTGCGGTCAACGTCATGATATCTCCAGCAGATCGAACGTTAACAGCGGAACTAACAACGGAGGCCAAGAGCTCGCGATCAGCTCCCATGATCTCAGCGGCCTCCACACACTGTGCAGCCACCAAAGTCGCAGCGGAAGCCACAGCAGAGTCATTCTTGGCTACTTGCTCGTCAGTTCCAGCACTTGACTGAGAAGCCGTGGCTGCAGCGATAGCAGCCACCGCTGCAGCCACACCAGCTACAGATACAGCTGCATGGAGCTGTGCGTTCTGTGCACGTGTCTCCTCCCTCTTCTTCTCTCGCCGGTCCTTTAGCCAACGACCAACAGTCTTAGACCCTCCGGCTGTGCCAGGGATAGCGGATGGGCCACGTATGTGACCATTAAAGGATGGGCTCACACGGTAGAATTGCTGCTACACAAAATATTTTAAATTTACTATAAGGTTAAATAATGCAATATTCACATATTCCAAAAGTTCTAAATATATTTGTTAAAACGAAATAAAAATATATTCTTCTAATTTTTTGCAGAATTTTCAAGTTGAAACAAAATAATCTCATTTCTTTTGCTTATTTAAGAAAATAAAATAAAAATCATAATGTACTATTATAAATTAAAAATTATAAAGTATTTTTCCATAATAAAAGGCTGTGAGAAATAGACCATTATGAATATAAAAGCCTGCCAATATTTGGGGTCCAAAACCAATAAATGCAAACACAACTACTATATTCTTTTTCCTAAATAATTACTAAATCCAATGCAATTCTTTAATGATATTAATACCATAAAAACAAATCAAAAATAGAAATAAAACATAAAAATAAGTGGATAAAATAAAATAAAATAAAAAAGACAAAAACACTGCTAAACTTAGAGTGATTCACAGTGAACAAAAATGCTTGGGAAGAAGAGAAAGCCTGAGTTTTGTGTTCCTCTGTTTTTCTTACTCTACTGACTTAGTAGTGACATCTCTACTCTACACTTCAACTTAGCCCAACCTATTTTGTTTTTGTCAACGTGTTTTTATCAATTTTACATTATAGACCCAATTTTTTTACCAATCTCACAGATTCAACCCACCTAATCTTATAACTACCCCACACTCTATTCCAATATAACAACAAACCAAAAGGTTAAGAAGTCAAAACAATCCACTGGTAACAGAAAGAGACTTATGAATTGTTCTTGAAACCGGTTTAGTAAATCTTTAAACCGGTTCAAGAATTGAAACTGACCTTGAAGTCGTCGATGTCCGAAGGAGAGATCGGTGGGCTGTCGGTGAAAGAGCTATGTGATAGTCTCCCTGAGGTTCTTGGCGATGAAATCTCCGGCTGTTACAAGTTTTTTTCATAAAATAGTAACATTAAAACATATATAGTTCAGATCATACGACGTCGGTTTTGTAATATAACTTACAGATTGAGCCATGATACGTTCCATGACCATCAAAGAAGTCTCAGAAGAAGCGAAAGAGAACGTGTTTCCTGAAACGACACCGTTCTCTTCATCTTCCGGGACCAAAGTGACGTCGGAAGAACCGTTCTTGATCTCGGAGAAACGCATTTGCGGCGGTTGAGAGGTTAAAGAAGGAGGTGGAGGAGAAGCCACGACGGCTCTTGAAACTTCAGTAGCGGAAGCACTCCAAGTACGTGAGAGAAACTCCATAGAATCTAAAGGCGTTTCGGGCGGTTTAAACGCTGGATTTGGTCTCCACCAGTATTGTTCTCCAAACGTTTTACTACTTTTATTATCCATTTTTTTTTTTTGGTATAAAGAGAAGAATGAGGGAAGCTCTCTAGTCGTGTATTTAACAGCGGTTGAGGTTTACTACTACTATAGTTTTTAGTAGCTTTGCTTCATTAGTTGAATCGTACGGTTTGGATTTGTTTTAGTTGTGTGATTAGATTACACGTGGCTTTATCTTAATGGATGATTTTGATAAACTACTTTTTAGTTTCAGTCTTAGAGGGTGATTGGTGATGACTTTTAAGGCTTTAAAATGGTTTTAAAGCCTTAACAGTAATTAATTTGCCAATCAACATTTTATGCTTTTATTTTTTTTTGAAGCATTAAAAGTCACTTCTTTTTTTTTCCTTCTTTGTTTTCTCATTTTTCTCAAAGCGTCAAAAACCTGGCTTTAAATTTAATTAATTAAAAAGATTTATTTTTCATATTCCCATTACATTTAAAACTTTTTCACAAGTTTATAAATATATTTTATATATTTTATTTTTATAAATTAATTACTCTCATTTTTTTCTTGTTCTTTTATTTTTTTCTTGTTCTTTTAAGATCCATTTCAATAATACTTTTATTTTATAAATTCATTTATAATATAATTTATATTTATTATAAATATAAAATAATAATAATAAAAATAACATGTATAACTTTAAAAGTTATTCATTACCAATCAGATTTTAACAGTAAAAGTTTCTACAGCCAAAGCATCTACAGCCAAATTCTCTGCAGCCAAAATTTTAAAGTTAAAGTCTCTACAGCCACAAGTAACAGTCGTTACCAATCGACCTCATTTAAGAAGTGTTTTGTGTACTTTTTCTCTGACGGTTTCTTGATTAAACTCCGAGTTCGGCTTAAAGACAAAATAAAAATAAAAAAGTTTAAAATTCATAAATTATATTAAGGATGCCTTTAGTGGTGAATTGATTATACAAGAAAGAAAAAAAAAATCTGAAGTTTTTAAAAACATATTTTCTTGTTTCATTAATAGTTTCTAAACAATTTAAATTTCTTATTTCTATTTTTAAATTGTAAATTCCAAAAGCATAACCATTCAAATTCTTTGAATTTAGGATTTGTTATATATATATATATATATATCAATTAATTATTATTGTTTGAAAATATCAATTTTTTATATAATATCAAGCTTTTAGTAACAATGGAGTAAATATGTAATGTAATTTTGATTTATTATATGTGAAAAAGCGAAAACAAGAAAAAAAAAACTCTTATTGATCCGAACATTGATTATACTTATATATGCATATTAACAATATGAAAAATTATGACCCAATAATTAAGTTTACTATTAGGAAGGTACGGATTCAAAGATAGTATATTTCATATAGGAAAATTAATAATGTGATGAACACTATCTTTGGTATAAAACCACTAAACAAAAATCGAATCTAAAAGTCGATTATAAGAAGATCTTCATGATAGTATGATACCATGTTTTAAACCTATGAAGATTATAATCCAATATAGAGTTTTATAACATAATCCAAGACACAGCTACATTGTCTCTCAAACTTGATTATTGTAGATAGAGAGTTTTTTTACACGTTCTTATTGTATATGGTCCTGAAACTTGAGTTTTATTATTCTTTTTTCTTTTTTTTTCTAGAATTACATTTATGTAGTGGGGAGTGGAATAATGTGCACGTGGAGGCGTGACTGAGGCACGTCATCATATGGAACCACAAATCTAATGTGTTATGTAAGGTTCTGTCCGTGACAAGTCAGAACACTCTTCACCACCTTCTTCTTTCAGCTTTTTTGTCTCTTCTTTTTATTTTGATTAATTGTATAGTACTGATTTAGTGTTATTTCGATCAATTACTTGTTGTTGTATTGGAAAAACACAACATTTTTTTCCTTACTTTAATAAGTTCTTTCTTGAAGTAAAGATCATTTAATAACTATAATGTTTATAAGAAGAATATGTCATACTCGAACAAAAGATTAGTTTATCAATAAGTGTGGACAACAAAGCATTATTCATGAGAATGTTTGCAGCTGAAGGTTTACTAAACCCAACTCAAAGCTCTTTATAGCCTTTTCGGCACGCGGGTTCACATTCAAGTTTCAACACATAGGTGTGTATTATGTGATGATCACGTTTTTAATTAATCCAATGTAATGTGTTAGAGATAACAATATTCCATATTATAAGGTCATCTCCATCGGTAATACTGGTGAAAAATTCTAAAAAAAAAAAATTATATTATTTAATTTATATAATTTTTTTCTATTTTTATTTATTCATTGAATTATTAAGTGTTTGACATCTGTTCACAATTTCTATGAACCCGTTACTAAAGTCTCTATGTTAAGCTACTCATTTTTTCTCTTTCTTCAGTTTTTATTATGTTTATTATTTTGTTTAAGATAAACTTTTCTTTAAGCACTTCCCATTGGAAGTGCCCTAAGTTATCTTAAGTGGTATATATAAGATATGAGCCTCTCCATTCATTGCTAATTGGTTTTAAGCTAGAAATCTATAATCTAGTATGGTGTTAGAGTCCGGTCTACACATACTTAACCCAATCTACAATTGGTCCGGCCAATAGTTGGCTCATCGATTCATACCCGAACATACAAAGATCTATGGACAGAAGAGCTATCATCTCGAGGGGGTGTATTAGCAATAACAATATCTCACATTAAAAGTTGGGTAAGATCTTAAGTGGTATATATAAGATATGAGTCTCTCCACTCATTTTCAATTGATTTTAAGTTGGAAGCCCACAATTTAATACGACGCAACGACAAATTTTTTTTTTGTCTCAATTTATTTATATGCCACATTGCGAGAAAAAATAAAATAATATATATATATATATAAACTCTACTATATTACAACAATATAAATAAAAGCAAATTTTGATTCAATGCAAATGACATAAGTTCAGATTATTTTTTGAAAGATAGAGAGTTAAACATATATTTCTATAGAAACTATCTAAAAATCATTTTGTAATTATCGAACCACGAAGATATTGTAAAGATAAAGAGACAAAGATAAATAATCCCTAAACAAATGTTATAGTTTGGTTTGATATAATAATAATAATAACAAAGGTGACAATTGCCTAATAAGTAACAAATAAGCATCAATAATTAAATACTGACCCCAAAATCTCTATTTTTGTTCCCTTCTTTTGAGGTAATGAGAGGATAGAAAAGACAGAGAAGGTGTGCATGTACGAGGGTGTTGGTACCTATCTTTTTCATCATCAATTTTTTTTCTTTTTTCTTTTCTGTGTATATTTATAAGTAAATATTCTCATAAATGATACATTGTGTAAAAAATAATGTGTACACTTAAAAGTAAAATGAAGTCGGCAACTAGTTATTTTGTTCTTAGCAAGAGACTAGCTAGTTGATTACTTCAATCCCTCGGCCAAAAGGACTAGCACTATTGATTTCAACATCAAACATTTCATAAATGAAAAAAAAAATGTGTAATGATATAAATGCTACATATATAGATGGACCTTATATAAATCCCATCACTAGCTTTGGATCATTTTTGGATCTTGCCAAATCCAAAAGACATTAATAGTGACAAGCTAGTGATGTGGATTGTTGGGTGTCTAAAAGGAAGTCTATACATGGGCAAAGGACATCTATTCATATCATGTGTAATTTGCATTCCTCACCTCGACGATCAAGGGCCTTGGAATTCACTAAAAGGCTTGAACAAAGCCTACTAAAATTACATATATGGTTGTAGTTTCTATGGAACATGTCGGTCCATTAAAGTGACAAATGAAAAAACCCATCAAAGATTTGAAATGGTGGACTGTTTGATAATTAAATAAATGAAATATAGAACAAATTGAAGTAAAGAACTAAAGATAGATCTCTAGGATGGCCTATAGAGAGCATTGTAACCTCATCTCAAAAAGACTACTTGGAGAAGATAAAGTCAAAACCAATCACAGCTACCACTAGGCCTGGTCTATGCGTCCACACATTGGTCCATTTGTTTGTCTACACCACATTGGTCCAATTATTATCTCCAATTAATGTTATAATGTAACAAAGATCATAAGAAATAAACCAGGACGACCTAACTAATCTAGGTTAACATTTTGAGCAAAACCCATATGCTATTTATAACCCAACAAATTAGATTAGAAAGTTTGGAACAATTTTGAGACATTTGAATAAACTTAGAGGTGAACACTACTTTCCATTATCATTCATTCACCCAACAAAAGAATTCAAGATAGAATGTGACATTCACCATATATTATACACACAAAAAAAACATATAATTTACATTCATATGATTAACAAATACTTGGAATGAATAATTTGGGTCGTTCTGACAAATCCATCAAAGCCTCCTCAACTAACTCCTCCAGCAACTTCAATTCTAGTTCCTCTCCCATTGAATCCATTTCCAATCTCAAACACTCCGGCGAACCAAGCTCTGCTACTTCAACCCTCACCACTTTATTCACCGCCAAACTACTCAAGTCTCCGTCTTCGTCCCACCAACGATCTTCCACTCTCCCGTTACCCGTTAAACATTCTTGCATTCGGTTTATCACATAAACCCGCAATGACTTACCAGAGATTATTAAGGGACTACGAGGTCCTAGAAAGCTCGGTGTTAGCTCCAAGAGTAGTGTGTTGACAAGGTCGAACACTAGCTTCTTCATATTTGATCCGAGTCTTTGCTGTTCTGTTGAGTCCGCGTAACTGTTTCTCAGAGATGGGTCTAGTGGGCTCTCTACAGAATGCCATTTAGACAAAAGATCGTCTGAGATTGCATCGAGGTCAGCTGCCGATAAGAGTGTGTTGATGAGGAGACGCAAGTCTTCTTCCTCATCTCTTGTGGAAGTAGTAGAGCGTTTCGATGAGAGGCACCGAGCTACCGTTGAGTCATCGAATGAAAAGGTTCGACCAATGGACCCTATCGGAGGCGATTTTCCTATTAAGTTGGATGTCATCTCCCGTTCTGTTTTTATTTCAAAAATTCCAGTTTATAAGCAATCAAAATGAAACAAGATAAAAAAATAAAATAAAGAGATG